TAGGGTTTAGGGTTTTCAGGTCAGATCTAGGTGACCCTAGTTTCATTGTGTTGACGGTCTAGGGTTTCAGATCAAGGGTCTAGAGATTAGGGTTTCAGCCCAAGGCTTTAGGGTTTCTGGTTTCAGTACAAGGGTTTAGGGTTTAGGGTTTCAGTCTAGGGTTTTAGGGTTTAGGGTTTCAGTACAACGGTTAGTGTTTCGGGGTGACTCGCTCTAGGGTTTAGGGTTTCGGGTCTAGGGTTTAGGGTTTAGTGTTTTAGTCTACAGGCTTATCATTTTTGCTTAGGAGTCTAAGGCTTCTAGCTTGAGCATAAGGGTTTAGGGTTTAGGGTTTACGATTCAATGATACCGCTCGGAGGCCCCTTGGGGGCCCCCTGGGGGCCCCCTCTGATGCTGTGAAGGAGGGCCCCCCGCCTGGGGGCCCCCCTTTGTCGTCATTACCTGTTATTGAGTTCAGTGTTTTTGTTGTTACAGCCGAATGGATTCACAGTACCCCCTCTAGGGCCTGAGGACCAGAAGATCGGGGGCCCCTGGGGCCCCTCACTTGTTGCAGCTATTAGGGTTTAGGGTTTGTAATGCATCATATTTAGCGAAAAAGAATATCCTTGGGGCCCCAATACTTTATCTCTGGTTCTTCCTTCACCTCCTATTCTTTCTCCTGACTGTTTCGCCGCATGAAACAGACTGGGGGGCCCGGGGGGGCCCCCAGAAGGGCCCCCTGTGGGGCCCCCCACCAAGGGGCCCCCGATGGGCACTCCTTTGGAGCTACCCAAGGGACCCCCTCTGGGGTCCCCGAAGGGGCCCCCTGTGGGGCCCCTGCGGGGTTGGAGTCCCAGGGGCCCCCATTGGGGGCCCTTTCCAGTGTTTCGAGAGGGGCCCCCACAGAGCCCTGGGGCCCCCCTTGGGGCCCCAATGGGGGCCCCCCTTGGGGGCCCCCCTGGGGCCCCCATCTCCCTGTCTCTGTTGAGAGGGTTGGCTGCACCGGTAGTGTGAAGGCTATGGAGATATCGGACTGTGGGTCCTTCCTCTTTGCTGCTGTAGCCAACACCATCAGGGTATACCCGTTGTTTCAGGGGGCCCCCCTTTACGGCAGAGGAGGGGCCCCAGGGCCCCCATATGGTGCTGGAGAGTGTGTGGGCCCAGCCTCCCTTGCAGGGGCCCCCTTTGCCCCACCGCTGCAGCAGGGAAAACAAGAGGGGGGGCCCCCTCCACAAGGAAAGGGGGCCCTGCAGGGGGGGGCCCCCCTTGCTGAAGTGTATTTCAGCCCCAGTGAACACGTGCTGGGCCTTAGAGAACGTGGGGGCCTCCTTGCTGCCTACGGCGCAACGCGTCTTGCCCTGTATGCATTACAATGGCAGGGGCCCCCAGGGGCCCCACCCCATGGCCAGGGGGGCCCCCAGGGGCCCCCATGGGGGCCCCTACAGAGCCACGGGGGCCCACACCCCACGCAGGAATGGGGGCAGCTCCGGCTGCAGCAGGTTTTTATGCAGAGAGATACAAGAAGAGTGCTGACGACAGAGTTTATTTTTTTGGGGTGCCCGAGAAGGCAAGAAGCAGCAGCAGCAGCAGTTGCTGCAGCAGCAGCAGCAGTGGGTGGAGCAGCAGCAGAAATAGCAGCAGCACGCGCTGCACATGCAGAAGCAGCACAATCAGCAACAACGGCAACAGCAGCAGCAACCATACCCACGGATACCGAAGCAACTGCAGCAGCAGAAGCAGCAGGAGGCTGTTGCCTCGAAGCAGCATCATCAGCAACAGCAGCAACAGCAGCAACAGCAGCAGCAGCAACAGCAGCAGCAGGAGGCTGCTGCCTCGGCGTTTATCTGTTGGCGCTTTACTCCGATGGGT